AATAAAGGGAATTAGAATTGAAAGATGAACATAATGACAGAGTAAGCAGGTGAAGAACCATTGGAAAATTATGATAACTCTCTTTTACCCTATACTTAATAGCTTATATCAATTATGCCATTTTTAAAGAAAATATGAATTGCCAGGTTGATTTTAAGAAGAAAGGTAGTAAACCTGAATAGGAGAATAACTATAGAAATTAACTTGGTAAAAAGAAAAAATTTTTCTCTTTAAGAGTGTAGGTCTGAAGCAGCTTTACAAGTAGGTTTATCACTTTTTCCAGGAGCAAATTATCTCCGTTTTATAAAAATCCTTTCAGTAAAGAAAGAATAGTTGTTAATTTATCAATTTATGAGGGTAGGATAATATTTATCTTAAAACCAAGAAAAATAGTAAGAAACAAAGCTAAGAATGGAAAATTATAGAGACTGGTGCTGTGGCTCAACCAGCTAATCCTCCACCTGCAAGGGCTGGAATCCCATATGGGAATTGGTTCGTGTTCTGGATGTTCCACTTTCCACCCAGCTCCCTGAATGTGGCCTGGGAAAGCAGTAGAGGATGGTCCAAATCCGTGGGACCCTGACCCATGTGGAAGACCTGGAAGAGGCTCCTGGCTCCTGGCTTCAGATTGGCTTACAGCCATTGTAGCCATTTGGGGAGTGAACCAGCAGATGGAAGATCTTTTCCTCTCTGTCTCTTCTTGCTGTAAATATGCCTTTCAAATAAAAGAAAATAAATCTTTTTTTTAAAGAAAGAAAAATTATAAACTGATCACAAATTTGAGTAAATAAACAAATTCTAAATAATATGCTTAATATAAAAGCTTGCTGTATTTTAAAAGGATGAATAATCATAATCAAGTAGTTTCATCGGAAAGATTTGTTCTAATATCAGAAAATCAGCCATTGTGATTTACTCTTTGATTAGAAAATACCAGAAAAATGTTTCACTGGATGTAGAAAAAAATATTTGATAATATCCAGTGTTCATTCATAAAACAAACTACCAATCAATCAGGAGCAGAAGGAAGCTGGCCACTTAGTTAGGAGTATCCACCCCAACCTCCAGTGAAGATAATCCTGAGGCGAAACCCTAGGAGCTTCACTGTAAAGTACAAAGACAATGATACCCTCATCACCACTGCTGTTTAGTAATAACAATCCTAGTCTAGACATTCCCAAGTTCTCTGGCAGTTAGTGCAAACAATGGGGAATACTCTGGTGTGGGTACTGAACATCCATGATACCTCATGGGGCAGTCCAACAGTGTCGACTCAATTAGGCATTCACACCCTGGTTGAGAAATACAAGGTATAATAATTAGAAAGTAGTAGCAAATGTATTTTCAAACAGTGTTCTCATTTGGAAAATAAGTTGGATCTGGTGCAATAGTCCAGTGGCTAAATCCTTACTTTGCATGCCTGGGGTCCCATATGGGTGCTGGTTCATATCCTGGCTGCTCCCTTCCCTACCAGCTCATTGTTTGTATCCTGGGAAAGCAGTGGTGGGCAGCCCAAAGCCTTGGGACCCTGCACCTACATGGGAGACCCAAAAGAAGTTCCTTGCTGCTGGCTTCGGATCAGCTCAGCTTAGGTCCTTGCAATCATTTGGGGAATGAACCAGTGGACAGAAGATCTTTCTCTCTGTCTCTCCTTCTCTCAGTAAATCTGACTTTCCAATAAAAAAATAAATCTTTAAAAGAAAAAAGAGAAAATAAGTTAGCAGCGCTAGGAACAGAGTACAACATCAACTGATGATGCAGTCCACATACAAAGTAGCTGTCCTATGTAAGAACTACATCCAATTAGAAAAAATATTGAAAAAAATTCATAATAGGGACAAATTAATGACACTAAAGGAATGACTTAATAGGTATACATGTGAAATATTTTGGGAAAAATTATAAACTATTCTTTAAGCACATAAAGATTTGATAAACAGAAGTTTATAACATGTTTATGAATGAAAAACTCAAGCTTAAATATATTTTTCCTGCAGATATCTTTAAGCAAATCAAATCCTTACTCCAAATATAACTATGCTTATCTATCAATCAGTATCTTTATATTACTCATTGCTGTTATGTAGTTGGCTTTATTTCTTGATACACCTGTATAGAAATTTCAAAAGATGAATTGATATTAAACCCACCAAATGCATTCTTATGATTTCCTTTGGGAAGAGGATTAAAACAAGGGGGTCAAGTACAGAAGAGTTTAGTCTTTCCTATAATATCCCAGTTTTAGAAACAAGACATGCGAATTTATGTATTTTCTTGCTGAGTGTGAACATTACCAAGATTTTAAACAAAGCAAAACTTTTAAAAGTAGCTTGTTGTATTTGATAGAAATTGATTCATTTATTTCTCTGTACTTTTCTGCTTTTCTGTTTAATTTTTTTTTTCATGAAAATAAAACACAGGTTGCTTCACTGGGATTCAGTGATCCAGGGGAAACTTGCTCTAGCAGGCACTTCCTTTTCAACTTTTTACCCCTGGAAGTTGGTGCAGTAAACCAAGAGTGTCTCATTAGAGTGCAACTGGGTGCCCAGACCTTGCTCTAGGGAGGCACAAATGGGGTTGGGTCTTACCCAAAGTCTCTAAGCTGGTCAGGAGGCACTTCCAATGGCCTACCCTATCTATCTGACTTGGAGGTCTTTGTGTCTTTGAATTCTTGTAGTTGGGGTGAAGGATAGCCTACATTGTATATTCATTTTGGAGGACAAAAACATAAGACTGATTCTCAGCTGATAGTTTTTCTGTTACCTATTATGTTAAAAAGTACATTTTCCCACTTTGGTCCAACAAATTCCATACCTTTCAGGATTTTGATAATTGTGCTTTAAAATACAGATTTTTTTCCTAGTGCAGGGCATTCTGAAGTATGACTTTCAGGTAGTCATTTAAATACTTTCCATCATATGTGTGACTACCAAGCCTTATGTCACAGTTACAAGAGGCAGTGCAGGGTGTTGACGATACAGCTGAGAGGCACATCTGGATCGTGTCCCCCAATGTCATGCTATTCTATCATAATCTTTGCATATATCCTGGGAGGTATGGGGTTGTCTGCTGTTTCTAAGGTGTGCTGTTCCATTCTCCAGGTCGAGGTCTCCCAGCAGGCCAGGCTGAGGTGGAGATGATTGAACGAGCCCGCGAGAAGCGAGCATGGGAAGCCACGCTCCCGGCACTCAGTGACACCTCCCAGTTTGAGAAGAGGAGGAAGATGATGAATGCAATGGAGAGGAAGGAGTGGGCCTTCAGAGAGCAGGAGATTGAAAAGTAGGTTCTCTCGCACCCATCAAACTCTCCTCACACTGATGGGAGTAGTGATGCTGCTTCTTATTTGTACATTTCCCTCAAAACCCATAAGACTTTCCCCCAAAATACAGAAGCAGTTTTCAGTCTGTAGAGATAGGAAATTGGATTTCCAGTTATTTTGGAAGCAATCACACATTACTAATGTGTGGTAGGACTCTCTATCAATTCCTCTTCAGTACCTTAATCATGTGTAGTGGTCTTTGTGTGGAAGTGTTACACAGAATCCACATTTGAACAAATCCTTGAGGGTATCTTTTTATTATTTATCTAAATGTTAGCATTAATTTCTACAAAGCATCTTCCAAACTGACCTCTTCCGTTCATTCCCAGTGTCACTAGCCCTAGACCCTGGCCCTCCTTATGTGCCACCAAATGGACCAAATGGCCTTCTGCAAAGGGCAGGAGTTTTCGCTCAAATGACAGTTGCATTTTCAAGAGTGAGGTTGTTGCTAATGTGTAAAAGTTATGATTGAGCTTTTATTTATTTATTTATTTATTTATTTATTTATTTTCTACATTTAACCTGGTTTTATCCATGCTTGCCTTGGGATGAGGAATAGATTATTCAGTAAAAATAAAATGTCTTACCATGTACAACTTTTTAAAAAATTTATTTATTTTTTAAAGATTTATTTATTTATTGGAAAGTCAGATATACAGAAAGGAGGAGAGACAGAAAGGAAGATCTTCCGTCCGATGGTTCACTCCCCAAGTGAGCACAACGGCCGACGCTATGCCGATCCGAAGCCAGGAGCCAGGAACTTCTTCCGGGCATCCCACACAGGTGCAGGGTCCCAAAGCTTTTGGGCCATCCTCGACTGCTTTCCCTAGGCCACAAGCAGGGAGCTGGATGGGAAGTGGAGCTGCCGGGATTAGAACCGGCGCCCATATGGGATCCTGGCACGTTCAAGCTGAGGACTTTAGCCGCTAGGCCATGCCGCTGGACCCATGTATAACTTTTAAACTACAGTAATAATGTATCTTAATTACTTCTATGCAGACAAGCCTAACGTTGCAGTTTCTTTAAAAAAAAAAAAAAAGACAATTGCATTTTATAATTAAGTAATTCCTAAGTTTTCTTTGTAGATAGATCAAGTACCTCCAAAATACAAATTCCTATCCACAGTGAGCACTTAAAACAAACAGTTCATTAAATTGTGTAAGTATGTGGACAGCCTTAGGATAAGCTGGCATGTATTCAGCGAGGTAGGCAACAAACCATAGTGCCAAATGAAGAAAGTGTATTTGCAAATAAAATTTTAAAACTAAGTTAACTTTTATAATTAAATACAGAAAATATAATGATTTGCTAAAATAAACAAGATGTGATGTAGTAACACTTCACTCTGAAGACTGAATACCAGAACATTAACAGGCCGTGACCGAGGCTTCCTAAGGAGCTGACTAAACACCGGCTGAACAGAAGTGCAGACTGAAGCACTATGGGGCGGGGAGAGGATGCTTTGCCACATACTCTTGTTACCTTGAGGTAGATAACACATGTATACCAAATTCAGCATTCACTTCCAGTTGCTACTGGTATCATGTGTTTAAGAAATGTGTACAGTATAAGAAAACTTGAAAACACATATGAATAAAACATGTTTTAGGAAAAAAATAGATATTTTCATGCAATTATGTACAATCTCACTGTGTAAATTTCAAGGCAAGATTTGTTTCCTGTAAAACAGATCATTGTTCTATGAGAGAATGTTTACTTGCCTTAGTGCATTTCTTTTATCTCCTGCATTGCACTAATTTGCTCTGTTCTTTGTGTGCAAACGACATGCCAGTTAAAATGAAAACTCTCACATGTAGAGAAAAGTCTGGATTTTAAAAACTGAGAATAAAACCCTTACTAAATGACACCATCTGATTCAAGTAAAACACTAGTAATAAAAGAAAGCAAAACACATTTCATGAAGAATACAAAAAGATATGTCTGCTAAGTGTTTTAGTTCAGATGCTTCAGAATGCTGCTGTATGTTTTATGAGAAATCTGAGGGGAAGATTTCATAGCTGAAGGGGTTAATATGGCCTGTATAGACTTCAGGGGCAAGCCAACCGGGCTGTGGAACTGTGGGATGCCTATGGATTCCAGCTGTAAGTTAAAAAGGAACTCACCACTGTGGCTGAGAAATCCCTCCTCAGGCCCTCACTCGGGCTTCTCCCCATCTACCGGCTCAGCATCTAGCATTTCAGTATCTTCTTTCCTGCTAAAGGATTTATCCAAGTAACTGGTGTAAGTGTTTTCTTTCTCGACTTGTTCATCCTTCCTTACCTCACAGCAAAACTGATTAATGAGAAAACAGTCCTCCCCGCCACTCACAAACTGGCTGTCCCAAGATGACTGGTACAAGGCTTCTAGCTGAGCCAAATTCGCCATTCCTTTTTCCCTTTTCTCTCGGCTTACCGACTTTGAGATCAAACTTTTCAATTCTAGTTGGGACACTGAGCTATTCAAGTCGTTTAATTTATCAACAACAGCAGTAAGCTCGTGTTGTGAACTAAGTTGAATAGTTCCTGCAATAAAGGAGTCAAAATGAAATCCCTGCTGCTTTTCCTTTTCCTTCTCAGCCAGTTGCTGTGACACTTCCTCTAGAGCCATCTGGGCTTTAACTAATCCATCCCTTTCACATTTTGACTTGCCTTTCTTACCAGATTTTTCTTTGCTCTGCTCTTTCTAAGTGAAAAGATCTGTAATAAGTTTGGGTTCATAGTAATGATTGACTTCATTTTCCTTCCAAACTAAGTTATCTAAATAGGAGGATAACCTCATTTGTAGTTATAAGTATGGCTACACTCCCGGTCACAATATTTTTTAACATGATGATCTGAGTACTACCAACAGAGCTCAGTAGAGTAATTGGCATCAAAAGCTGGATCCTCCAGGTACTTTTCCCGACCTTCATCCAAATATTTTTGAGGATTGACTTGTACTTCTTTAGCGACATCAGGGCTCTCGGGTCAAACTACACTCCATCATTATAAAATTGTTATGAATAGGCCAATCATGCTTCGAAAACTGACAATTATGATAACTTTCTCAGTTATAAATGTGACTGTGAGTTTCATCCATAAGCAAAATATCGTCAACTTCATATTTAATATGAAAGAGATGATTTAAAATAGGCTCACCCATTGGATGGGAGAGTGCTTCTTCTGCTGTCAGCTGATCCATGGGGCTAAATGGCAGAATTTGTTCCAGTGCTTCTTGACTAATTCCCAGAAGCAGTTGAGTTAGAGGTTTGTGTGGTTCAGTCATGTCATTTCTAATATAAATTGGAATTACACTGATATGCTCCTGATGATCTTCCTCATGTACAACAGGAATAGATTCTAAAATCGGTTACATCTGTTCAAGTTCATGTGCAGCTGTGAAGAGGGTTTCACCAGTCAGCATTTCAGCAGAGGTGCAGCCTGCAGCCCACATGTCAATGACTTTAGTATAATTATTAGGAGAAGGCAAAAGATGTGGAGATCTATACCATTTAGTAACCAATCCTTCAGAAAGATGACCCTTATGGAAATAATATGGATCCATGATTTGTGCAAGGTCAGTCACCTATCTTCAGCACCACGTTTTCAGTATTAATGAAAAAAATTAGCTGGTTTGAGATCTCTGTGCAGTACATTTGCAGAATGAATATACTTGAGCCCATGTAGCAGCTGATACATGGAAAGCCAGACATGCTCTTGCAGTAACGGGCCCTGCTCCAGCACGTTGACCAAGTCTGTCTCCATGTACTCCTGAACAACATAAACACTGTTCAGTTCAGTAAGAGAACCCACATTGTCTGTTAATTGGCTTCCACTGGGACCAAGAATTTCAAACACTTTTGCAATGTTATCATGGTCAAGTCTTCTAATAATTTTGATTTCCCGAAGAGCATGTTTAACACTCTGGGGATCCATAAGGACAGTTTTCTTGATGGCTACTCTCTTGTCACAGTCATTGTCTATAGCAGAAAACACCAAACCGTTGCCTCCACAACGCTGTGGTTTTAAGTCCATGTACCTAGAGCCCAGATCAAAACCATCAATGTTCGTGAGACTTTCAAATTTCTGCCATTTTGAAATCCTTACTATTGCTTTTTCCTTTCAAATTGTTGAACTTGTTTAAACAAGAAAGAAAACTGGCATCAAAAGGAAAGATCTTTCAAATAGGGAGAAGAAAAACAATTATATTTCTATAGCAAGATGATTTCTTGATGTTCATTGCGTCTGCCAACCAGGCCCGTTGAGTTCTCCTTAGATTTAAAGCTCAAAAAGCTCTACTCATACTGAGAATTAAACAGACTGCTGTACTCATAGTTCAAGAAAAGGGCAGCAACTCTGCAGACATCTAAAGGAAGCACACAAGAAAAACGGAATGAAATGACATACTATGCACTGATTTACTGTGCTAAACCATTTAACATTTAACAAAAATGTGAATAAATATGCACACGACAGGCTTCTAGGAACATTCTCCTCACAGTGCAGGTACATTCAGTGTTGGACTGGCCCTGAGCAGCAGCATCCTAGGGTGCTGGGAAGCACTATCTCCGTTTGCTTCTTCTCTTCCTCTGTTGCTATGCACTTCAGCGGGAAGCACTGGTGGCTGTTGGCTGACGGAAGATGTCTTGTTAGTGATCAGATGGCTCCAGCTCACCACAATCACAATCAAAGCTACCGTCCATCTTACTCTGAGACATCCAAGTCATCGAGGGAGTGCAGGGCCCAAGGACAGCCCCCAGGGTTGGCTCAGGGTTGCCAGGGCTGTGCTGGCAGCAGTGGCTCTCGCTTTGTGGCAGTCACCACCATGTAAACCCAACCCACAAGAGATGGTTGAGCTCAATTTTAGGCTGTGCTGAGGTACTTTATTCCTTGGGGTAATGCTGCCAAGGCCCCTCCTGCACACGGAAGTTGAGGGCTCAATTTGGTGCAAAATTCAGAATTTTGTTTTTTGGGATAACATTTTCTGTTTAAGCCTGAATTCATTCTACATGATGCTTTGGAAAGCTTCCAGTTTTATTCAGATAGTGTTGGGGGCAAAGTAGGTGTCAAATACTCAATTGTCTCTTCAGACATTTAAATGTATTGCCCTAATTATCTTGGCAGAAGGTATTAAAATGTAAAACAATGTAGCTGGTCAGAGAAAGTGTATGCCTTTGTAAAATTGAGGATAATTTTAATGAATTACTTTGAGTTGCCCCTTTGTGCTAGGCTTTGCACTGTGCATGAGGAACCAGGGAAGAACAGGCAGTGCTGTGTCCAACCAGAGCTCCTTGTGTCCCCTGGGCCAGGAGTAAGGCAAGAATGTCAGAACAGTTGGCAGGGGATGGAGCGAAGACCTTCAAATCAACACCTTTCCAACAGGTCTATCAGGTGTATACTTGTCTATTCATAAAGCGATAGGGGTTACCTAGGTGAGGGAACAATTAGTTCTGGTTGAGGAGGGTGGCTTCTGAATGAGTTTTGAAAGATGAGAAAGAAACCTTAAGTAAACAATGTCAGTGATGATGACAGATACTTACAGATACTTGCAGAGTGCCTCCCGTGTACCAGATGATGTTCTAAGGCAATGATTTTCAGAGAGTGGTCTGCGCCCCAGCAGGGTTAGCGTTAGCTGGGAACTTGTTAGAAATACAAAATCTTGGGCCCCACCCCAGACCTACTGGATGGGCTAGGACATCTATGGCATGCTAAACCCTCCAGATTATTCTGACACATACTTAAGCTTGAGAACTATTGTTCTAGCACACCATGTACATTAACTCATTTAATGCTTACAACAACCTTATAAAGTGGATTCTGTCATCACCGTTTTACAATGGATGAAATCAAGGTCAACAGTGAAACTTAGAACTGTACTTAATGCACTCCTGTGCTGATGAACCAACAGGAAATTAACTCATTTGGCAATTTTGTCGCTGAGTGAGCACCGTAGAGCAGGCTTACCCAAACCAGGCTGCTACAAGTTGGTTGCTCAGTGTGGTCCCTCCATGCAGTCAGGAGGTAGGGTAGACATGAAATGTAACACAGCATACTGTTTTTTTTTTTAAAGAGTAATTTATTTTTATTGGAAAGGCAGATATACAGAGAGGAGTAGAAAAAGAAGAAGACCTTCCAACCATTGATTCACTCCCCAAGTGACCACAGTGGCTCGAACTGAGCCGACTTGAAGCCAGGAGCCCAGAGACTCCTCCAGATCTCCCACATGCGTGTAGGGTCCCAGGGCTTTGAGCCATCCTCAACTACTTTCCCAGGCCACAAGCAGGGAGCTGAATGGGAAGTGGGGCCATGTGCAAGGCGAGGACTTTAGCCACTAGGCTACTGTGCCAGGCCCAGCATTCTGTTTTACAGTAGATTTTTTTTCTTCAAGTAGAAGGAGTACACTCTAAAATAATAATAAACATATAGGATAGCAAATACACAAACCAATAACCAGTAAATTACCATGTGTTATCACTATTAAGTACTATGTACTATATATAATTTCATGAGGGATCTTCAAAAAAATTCATGAAAATGTATGTTATAAAAGATTATGGATTTTAAAAATCTGCACCATAATAAACTGCCCTTTTAACTCCATTTTCCCCTGGACTTTTGAAAGTATCCTTGTATGTGCTGTGCTTCTGTATGACTGGTAGCACAGCAGCTTTCTTTACACCAGCAGCATCACAAACACGTAATAAATGCCCAGTGCTATGGTGTTAGGACTGTTAGCTGTGATGTCACTAGGCAATAGGAATTTTTCAGCTCCATTGCAATCTGACACTATCAGTTGTTGGCCAAAATGTTGTTCTTGTACAAGTGACTATATTTCTGTCTCTAGAGGGAAAGGTGATTTAGAAGCACCTGCGTTTCCACGTTTGTCACTACTCATTCACCCTCCCACGTGTCTTCACTTGGAGAAGTTCTGCGGGTGTGACATGTTTGTTCAATCTCTAGTCAGTTAACAGGAATGTTCTGCTCCTCTCCTGAGGACTTGCTGCTTTCCAATGTGACAAATCCCAGTCTTTGTTTATCGCTCCACTGAGTTAACAGCTCCTCTAAGGAAGCCTTTCCCAGTTTGTCTCTCCTACCTCCTGCTCATCCTGTCTTCTCCCACACAAATCTTCTCATTCCTCTAGATTGATATATATCTCCTCTGTGTAAACAACGTGGTTTTGGATGCCTATTCTGCTTCCCAGGAGAGAGGTGTTTCACTCTGTACATCGTGACTTCCTGCCTGGCTTGTAGTGGGCACTGAATAAATATTTGACAAATGAGTGACTAAGTTATATATGAGTAAAAGCCATGTTCAGGAAGGAAAGCCTAGAGACCACATGGTACAGACAGCAGAATGGGAAAGCTGCAGCTAGGAATTCAAGTTAGGAGAGAGATGATGAAATCAGTAAGTGGTGAATGGGTGCAGGTGTTTCAGAGGAGGGATCAAGGGGGATAAGATTAAAAGAAGGCTGGTATGGGCCCAGCGTGGCAGCCTAGTGGCTAAAGTCCTTGTCTTGCACATGCTGAGATCCAGAATGGCAGCCGATTCTAATCCTAGTGGCTTTGCTTCCCATCCAGCTCCCTGCTTGTGGCCTGGGAAAGCAGTCAAGGACGGCCCAAAACCTTGGGACCCTACACCCGCATGGGAGACCTGGAAGAAGCTCCTGTCCCTGGGTTTGGATCCTCAGCTATGTCTATTGTGGCCAGTTGGGGAGTGAATCATTGGACAAAAGAGCTTCCTCTCTGTCTTTCCTCCTCTCTATATATCTGATTTTCCAATAAAAATAAAATAAATCTTAAAAAGAAAAGAGAGGGCCCGGCGCGGTGGCGCAAGTGGTTAAAGGTCCTCGCCTAGCACGCCCGGGATCCCATATGGGCGCCGGTTCTAATCCCGGCAGCCCCACTTCCCTTCCAGCTCCCTGCCTGTGGCCCGGGAAAGCAGTCGAGGACGGCCCAAAGCTTTGGGAACCTGCACCCGCGTGGGAGACCCGGAAGAGGCTCCTGGCTTCGGACCGGCATAGCATCGACCCGTTGTGCTCACTTGGGGAGTGAATCATCGGATGGAAGATCTTCCTCTCTGTCTCTCCTCTCTGTATATCCGCCTTTCCAATGAGAAAATAATAAAAATAAAATTAAAAAAAAAAAAAAAGAAAAGAGAGATTTTTGGGAGAACAAAATGAATGCATTTTTTTTAAATTGTCACAGGAGATTCAAGTAGACAAATTCTAATTCAGAAATACCTGTACCTGAAGGTAGAGATTTTAAATCATCTGTACCTAATTGGAAATGCATGAAGGAAGAAGGTGGCCCTAGAAGACAAGTTGGATGGAAGGGAAAGGAGAACACAGGTTTACTGAGTATCTACTATGTTCTAGGCATTCACATTGTCACTGTCATTGTTAAGATAGTGTACTGCAATCTTTTTTATTCACTCTCCTATTCTGGAAGCATCCACAAAGCTCTCACAGTTCCTGTGGCCCATCTTCCTAGAGAATGCTGCTTTTGTTTTATGTGCCTGGCATCGTCTTCATCTTTCAAAACTACATCCACATATATTCTGAATCATCTCTGCCACCCACCCCCAGTTCATCCTTCACACTTCTACCACAGTGATTTTTTAATTTATTATTATTATTATTTTAATATACGAACAGGAAGATCCTGCTTGTGACAACTGAATACTCCCTAGAATACCCTGTTTGAGACAACCATATGCTTCTTTGTGTTTTATTATTTACTTGAAGATTGCAGGAGATTCGTCTGGAAGTTCTGAAAGAGCTGCTGAGGAAGCGTGATGAGAATCAGAATGAGCTGAACATGAAGCACTTGAATGCCAAGTGGACTAAACTGCAGGAAGAAAAAGAGGCAAAAGTGGCACAGATCCAGTGCAGACATTTATCAAGTAATGGCTTAGTATACACAATGAGGAAAATGGGCAAGTGGGCGTTGTTTGGGATCTAACCAGGATCAGATGCTGTTTGGGCTTGGTGTATCACGTAAGGGATTTGAGAGAAGCTATATTTTTAAAATTTTACTTTTCATGGTACAGTTCTTAAGGCTCAGGGATGTCTCTTTCCCTCTTTCTCCTCCCTGCCTCCTCTCTGCCCACCAGAGAAAAGCTGTTTTTCAAAGGTAGCAAAGTGGAGGGAAATCCCGAAAGTCAAATGGTGTTTTAACAGGTAGACAAATTTTTGACATTATAGGAGTGTGGTGTGTTTGTGTGTGTGCATACACACATACATACATATTTGTGTTTTTTTGTATGTGTGTATGTGTTGGGTTCCCCATGTTCATGAGTTGAGGTTCTGGATAAAGAGCCCTACTTTACTTTCTCAATCTTTTAATCATTATTTCCCCTATATAGATATTTTATACATCTTTTTGAGTCATCATCCCTCTCCAAGAAATTTTAATAACACAAAATGTTTTATATGTATGTATATGTATATAAAATAATGTGTGCATTTCTGTATTTCAGACATAAAAGATATACATATATCTATCCTTTATACATAAAAGATGAGGTATCCAGTTTACTCTCTTTATTTCGTGTAGGATTAAAAATGAGTTTACCTGTTTTGATCTGTGCTGCTACTAGATTCTAGAAACAAATAGAGCCAATTAAAATCTGCAAAAAAAAAAAAAAGAATAAAGAAAGAATCATTTTAAGGTGTTATTTTTCCAGCAAGACCAAAACACTACCAAAATTAAAATTATCACCTGAAAATTATAAATTATTTTAGTGATCTGAAATTTGAACTTTCTCTTAATGTGAGAAAGTCACCTTTAACTAGCTGCTAGCTGTTCATTCTTGATATTTTTCTGTTTCTATACTTGATCCCAATAGTGATGGATTTAATTAACTTGATAAATAAGTTATCAGCTAGTTTCACTAAATTCTCAGCTCCAACTCACACACAAAAGAGCACTGAAAACCAAGCATAAGCAGGAGTGACACCAAGACTCCGTGGGCCTGATTTCCCAACCCTGTGCTGTAACCTTATAGCACACAGAGTCGTCCAAAGGGGATGGGTCTGTCATGAGATCTGAAAGGAAAAGGAACTTGTTGAGGTACCAAGCATGCCTCTGTAGATAAGTACATTCTAAATAAGCATAATTGCCTCTTCTTTCTAACTTCTCAACAAACTGAGATGAGCCTACAGGCTTCCTTTACATTGTTCTTATAGGGGAGAATAATTCTAACTCTTCACTGAACATGTATTTCCTGGTTACCTTGAGTTTCTTTCATTTATTAACAAACTTTCATTGAATACCTCTTGGCTCAGATCTTGTAATGCAGACAAAATATTTGATGAGTATCAATTGAAGACACTCCCTGGGATTCAACTTCTGTCACTACTGCCTGTCTTACAACAGTTTGAGCCACACTGCTACATCTGGTTGCTGGAAGTCATCATGAATTTAATTCAATTTAGTAGCTTCCCCATATGTAAAACTTGAATTGGCTTACTACTCTGTATTTGGTTAATTCAGAGAAATATGTTGGAGCTAGTCATAGAAATATGTTCTATTTCAGCAATCAGAAAACTTGTAGAAAAAAGAAAGAATGTAGAAGGGAAGTTTGAGAGAAGAAACATCATCAAGGATTATTCTGATTATGGATCACAGGTCTACGGGCCTCTATCTCGCCTCGGTCGTTTCCCAGACAACAACTCTGAGGACTTTGTGGTCAAGAACCACTATCTCAACACCTATGAAGGTAAACTTGTCCAGTTAAAAATTCCTATCCGAAGATGGTTATCTTAGGGGCTGGTGTTGTGACACAGGGGGTTAAACTACCATGTAGGACACCTGCGTGCTCTGTCAGAAAGCCAGTTCCAGTCCCAGCTACTCTGCTTCTGATCCAGCTTCCTGTTAATGTACCTGAGAAGGCAGAGGATGGAATGCCAAGTACTTGAGTCTCTGCTAGCTGTGTGGGAGACTGGATGGAGTTCCAGGTTGCTAGGTTTGGCCTCACCTAGTTCCAAGTGATATGGGTGTTTGGAGAATGAGCCAACAGACGGGAAATATTTTTCTCTCTCTCTCCCATTCTCTGTCATGCTACCTTTAAAGTATTTTCAAAAAGAAAATGATGTGCCTATACACATATAACACATACATGGATTAAATACATAAATGATAGACATTTAGGTTAAAAGCTAAGCAACAAACATCATTTGCAGGAAACAAAAATGAACATGTTTAACATTATGGAACCCATACAAACCAGTAAAAACTAAGTCGTAAATAATGTCTAAAAAAAAATTCAGCAGCTGGTGTGGCGGTGTGGCATGTTAATCCTCTACTTTGTGGTGCTGGTGTCCCATATGGGCACTAGTTCATGCCCCAGCTGCTCTACTTCCAATCAAGCCCTCTCTTATGGCCTGGGAAAGAACAGAGGGTGGTCTAAGTCCTTGGGACCCTGTACACATGTGAGAGACTGTGGAGAGTTCCTGGCTCCTAGTTTTGGATCAGTTCAGCTCTGACCTTAGGGGCATTTGGGGAGTGAACCACCAGGTAGAAGACCTCTCCTGTATAAAATCTGCATATCAAATAAAAATATAAAAATCTTAAAAATGTTCAATCACTGTTTATCTCTTCCAAAATAATTAAGTAAATGGGTACACTAGAAAGCAATTTGGTGAATTGATGTCAATCTGAAACAGTAATATTATTTCAACCCCAAACAACCTGTATCTCATGCAATAAGATATTGTGAAGTAATCAAGGAATCAATAATCAAAAAAAAAAAAACCAATGTTTTTACAAGAGAAACACTCAGGATACTGTAAAATTAGCAAATGAAAACATAAGTACAGAAAAAAAGTATATCCTAAATGACACCAGAATAAAGCTTACTTTTTTTTTAATCAAAAGTAAAAAAAAAAAAAAAAAGAAAGCAATTTGGTAAGGAATAGATTGAGTTACTAGACATTTTAAGTGTTTAATGTTATTAATAATTAGTCAAAAGTACTAGTGCACATTATGGAATGCCGATGTGAGGTTGCCTGTACCGGAAGGGACTGCAGCGTCCAACCAGCCTGAGAACAAGAAAGGAAGTGGGCAGAGCCAGCAGGGGAATAAGGGAGGGTTCCTTTGCAAGACAGCTGCTTCCGCAGAAGAGCATGGGCTGGGATGGGGGCAGACCAGACTAGGCAGAGCTACCACACCTGTGCGCCTCATGCGGACTAGATCAGGGAAAAGCCGGGCTGGGATGATTATTCCTACTGGTGCAAACAAAATTAAAGTGGGCGAGGGTTGTTTGGGCTTAGACGTAGCATCAGCTGGAATCTGGGAGTGGGAGAGGCCTGGGAGGGAAATAGTGGGCTCATCCCTCTTGGGTCACCAGTTCCACAGGAAGACATAAAACTAAGATAGCAGCTGGGGTGGAATGGGGTGTGGGACAGACTGGATTACTGCTACACTTACTGGCAAACCAGGGTAGGGGGTGGGCCTGGTGGGTGTTATTGTGGGTAGCTCCAACTAGGCTGCAGCTCCCGCTGGTTTATGTGAGGGCCAAGTATGTGCTGGGCAGAACCAGGCTGGACTGCAACACCCATTGGTTCCAGTGGAAGTCGGGAGTGAAAACAGAACCAACCCAGCAATTGCAACCACCAGCTGATTGGAGCGATGGACGGTGCCAGGCCCTGTACTTGTTAGCACATACAAGAAGTTTCTTTGGAGATCTTCCTAATCTAAATGCTGGACTCAGAACCCTAATGAAGAAAAGAGAGAAGACAGAACAGGTCAACCAACCATCTCAGCTATGATGGACTATGTCAATCAGTGGATTTTTCAAAGCCCTCATAGTGCTTGGAGTGGCAAGATTGACAGTGATTCATAACTGTGGCAATATCAAAACCACTTGAGCAAGAACCTCAGAGCATGCCCTACATCCAGGGCCTGGGGAGGGTGGGAAATTGGGTGGGCCTTCTCCCTTATGTACCCCCCTTTAAATATGAAGCTAACAATATGGAAAACATACTAGTATTATCCACTTTCCTGTAGCCCTTGAACCTTCTTACCCTAATTAACTATGTAAAGAATGTCAAAATAAAATTAAAAAAAAATAATTAGTCAAAAGTAAAATAGAGGACTAGCATTGTGACCCAATGGGTGAAGCTGCTACCTGCAATGCTAGCATTTCATATCAGAGTTACAGTTTGAGCTGCGGCTGATCCACTTTCATTGCAGGTTCCTGCTAATGCACCTGGGACAAGAGTGAAAAATGGCATATATACTTGGACCCCTGCCACGCACATGGCAGACTTAGAGTTCCTGCTTTTGATTGGGCCTGGTTCAACCCTGGCTGTTGTGGCCATTTTGGCAATGAATCAGCTCTCTCCTTTCTCTCTTTCTGTCTCTCTGCTTTTCAGTTGAACAAAATATGTTTTTTAAAAAGTGATTTAGAAAACACTCTTATGTCAGGTTTATAAAAGTAAATGAAAAATATGTAATAAAATCAAAACTCAGAGAAAGTAGTGGGCCAAAGGATAAATAATTTCTGAAGAGCCTGATGCTTTTTTGAAGTCCAAGAGTCTTACTTAACTTTTAGTTGATGTGTGAAGCATCATATGGCCAAGATCATGAACTGAGGGTCACATTGTTGAACTTCTAGCCCTGATTTGCTATTTACACACCAGATTGATAAATTGCTCTTCATCCATTTTAGAATGGTGGCACCATATATCATAAGATAATTGATTTTCTGTTGATTATTATCATGGGATGTATTACTTTTTGTAGGCTAATATTTTTACTTTATAATTATTCATCATTTTATAGTCTGAATCAGAACATAATTATACAGGAATACACTTTACATTCTAATGGCAACACTTGGCAGATAATTACTAAAATTAGCAATGTACTCCTGAAAAGACAAATCCAAGCACCAAGTACTAAACACATGTACTTCCTCTCCACAGGTTTAGTTGAGCTCGAGTCATCTCTCCCAGATTTTGTGACACAACCGAGAATCAAAACTCCGAAGCCCAAAGTCCTCACCACCAAGTCTGGAGTTCTGAAGAGGGCATCAAGGTTTGACCAAGAGTTGGCTGAAGTTCATAAGGTATAATCATTATCTGGGAGACAAAGCGCTTTTAGTGTGACTGGCAGAGACATGTTACACTCTAGCGTACCGGGATCTGTCGTGCCACCTTACGTTCTTTCTCCTTGGTGCACTTTTCTGGAGGTGCCTATGCAGTGCAGAACCTGTTGTGATCCCCTTCACCCGTGTCAAATGAGAAAAACCTTTTGGAGGTTGTTTTCAGCATACACAGAAGTTATGCTCGTTTTCGGAAAGATTCTAACTTTGGCTCTGTTTGATAGAGTTTGACACTATGCTGAGGTAGAGCAAATTTCTAGTATTAGGAATTTATAATGATGTTAATAGTTGTAATAGGCCACATTTTTCTTCCTTCTGTATTTGTTATCAGAGCAGCGTGAAGAAAAAGAAGTCCTCTTCAATTTCTTTCACATCTGCCTTGAAATGCAACTCCTCATACTTGAGCATGCATCAAAATCACATGCATGTCACATGTGTGTCAATGTCCAATAAAGTGATAAACTTCTCTGCTCTGAGATTTAAAAAAAGTCACATGCCTGGCTTGTCAGCACACATTGCTGGGCCCCAGGTCCAAAGCCGCTGGTTCAGTAGGTTCAGTATTTTTCATTTAGTTATTCTTTGTCATTTTTATTTTCTTTTGATAGATCTAAGCGTCTTTCCTCTGTCATTGTTTTCTCTATCTGAAAAATTTGCTTTATCATTTCTTGTAGGGATTATCTATTGATATGAACTGATTTCAGGTTTTGCTTGTCTCTAGAAAAATCATCATTTCTCCTTTTACGCTCTTTTCTGAGAGTGAGAATAATTCACATACAATGAATTTCACCCTTTTAAAGAAGAGAATTCAATGATTTTTAGTGCATTAATGGGATTGTACAACTGTCACCCACTGTGTAATTCCAGAACATTTTTGTGGTCTCCAAAGTGAATTCTATACTCACGACTAGTGACTCCCAAGTTCCTTTCCCTCTACCACGAGACACACACTCTTCTTTCTCTTCTTGAATGTGCTTATTCTGGACATCTCACATAAGGGGAATCATGCATTATGTGACCTTTTCTGTCTGATTTCTCTCATTTGGCATAGTATTTTTTATCATTCATCCATATTCTACCACATTCCAGTATTTCATCCCTTTGATTACTGCACACAGTTTCATTGTGTGGATAAGCCACATTTCACACATCTACCAATCAACCAAGGGATAGTTGAGTTGTTTGTATAATGACTAATATTGTGCATAATGCTGTTATGTGCATCTGTGTGCATGATTTGGTTTGGAAATGTGTAAGTCATTTACTGGTGCAGAATTTTTCTGGTGCAGAAAAATTTCCTATTGCCCGTGCATTCGATCAATTATATCATGTGAAAGAAAAGGAATGTGTTTGGGGTTGCTTATATGTGTATAAGACAGAACTTTTTAAAACCAAAAGGATATTAAATCTTCCTCCAGAAGCTTTAATTAAAATAGATACAACTAAAATATCGTTCACATTAATAAAGTGGTTAGCCTATCCTTAGAAATGTCATAGCATTGCTTGGGAGAAACATGTACCCCAGTTTGAATTTTCTCAAACTGACCTGACACAGACACAGAGAATACTATTTCTTATCGACAGTCAGATCTGTAGACTCTATCTAGGGATGAGACTAGTTGTTATTATTATTATTACTATTATTATTATTTTAATGGACTATCTTTAAATATTTATTTATTTTTATTGGAAAGGCAGATAAACACAGAGAAGAGGAGAGACAGAGAGGAAGATCTTCTGTCCATTGATTTCACTCCTCACCTGGCCTCAATGGCTGGAGCCAAGCCAATCTGAAGTCAGAAGCCCAGAGCTTCTTCCGGGTCTCCCATGCAGGTGCAAGGTCCAAAGACTTTGGGCCATCCTTGACTGCTTTCCTAGGCCACAGGCAGGGAGCTGGATGGGGAGCAGGGCAGCCTGGATTAGAACCAGTGCCCATATAGGATCCTGCATTCAAGGCGAGTACTTTAGCCGCTAGGCTATTGTGTTGATCCCTACTAGTTGTCATTATTTCAGGCACTGTTGGATAAGAAGAAAAAAGTTCTTGAAGATACGAAACCTCTGCGCTTCCTTCACAGAAAATCAGTACCTCAAACTCGGCTTCCAACTCCAACCTTGGAGATGAGTTCCAATGTAAGTTTGAAATGTTTAAATGCAAAATGCTAAGTTCACTATTGCAGTCTATTAATTTGTTAGGATGGTTTGGGTTGAAAACAAATGTAATGGAGCAGTATTAGTTTCCCAAGCTCTAACTTAAATATTTTCTTTATTCTTGTGTATCAAATCATTGAGTGCATATACAAGCAAGGAAAATGAAATGAAATAAACACCCAACTTTTTTTTTTTTTAAAGATTTATTTTTATTATTTTTTCATTGGAAAGGCGGATATACAGAGAGGAGAGACAGAGAGGAAGATCTTCCGTCCGATGATTCACTCCCCAAGTGAGCGCAACGGGCCGATACTATGCCGGTCCGAAGCCAGGAGCCTCTTCCGGGTCTCCCACGCGGGTGCAGGTTCCCAAAGCTTTGGGCTGTCCTCTGCTGCTTTCCCAGGCCACAGGCAGGGAGCTGGAAGGGAAGCGGGGGTGCCGGGATTAGAACCGGCGCCCATATGGGATCCCGGGCGTGCAAGGCGAGGACCTTTAACCACTTGCGCCACCGCGCCGGGCCCCCAACTTTTTTTTAAAAAGAATAAATCACAGAGGAAACATCTTTCCATAAAAGATAGGCTTCGGAAAGTTATTCTTATGTCTGTCAAACAGAAAAAAATGGATTGAATAATAATTAGTTACCCTTTCTGGCCTCCTACATGGCAAGGTGGCTGATTGCTGAAGCCAAAGGGAAATGGCACGCCATCAAGACTAGCTGGCTGCTGTGGCAGGAATGGTTCAAAGGGGTTACTCCGACCAGGGTAATTTCTCACCACGCTCAATTTGGGCAAGGAACCAGAGTTATTTAGGATTTAAAGGACCAAGTTAAGTCAGATACAACAAACTCACAAGAAACTACTAGCGAGGCCACAATGCTAACTGTTTTTTTAAGGAAAGCAGTATAGCTACCGGTGACTTAGCAACTTCCTCTTGGATGGTCAGCACATGGCCTCCCAGTACAGATCAATCCAAATTAGGAGCCAGACTGTATTTAGGAGGTTGGTGTGTGCTTCATCGGAGTGGAGTGGACTAAGGATTGGAAGATGAGAGGAGAACTCATTGACAGCCCACAGCTCCTGTGTAGGGAGTGGAATGTACCCACTGATTGGCCAAGATCTGTGCTGTTCTGGAGTATACTGGAACCTTTGGTTAACATGTTTCATTCGTGTAGGTTAGTACCATTGACTAAACTATTATTTTCTTTTATCATTGGAGGCAAATTATAATTAGATTTCCAGATCTTGCTCTTGTTATTTTTGACATGGAGTTATTTAAGATGATTTTGGTAGGTGGCTGATCTTGTCCATTATATTCTAAATTCACCATTTTAGCTAAATTCTTAGGAAAATCATGTCACTATTACATAGATTAGCTAAATTCTTTACATATTTGTGATCAAATGTGATTTTGGGTTAGTTTTAGAAGAGTATAAAAAATGAAAATGACATCCTCTGTAGGCAGAGCATGGAGGTCCTATCATTTTTGCTTTTAATAGCCTTTGTTAATAGACTGTTTACAACAAGACATAGTAATGGATTTTCACAATATAGTAAGTAACACTAAGCTTATAATGTGTTCAATGAAAGAAGGGACCATTTTCAGGTCTCTGTAGATTCTTGTGGCATTTAGCACAGCTCTTTTGCTTGATATCAGTCTTCAAAGACATACCCAGCTTGGACTGCCACTGTTCTTAGACTACTTGGTTCTCCCTTTGTCCTTTTAGGAAGAAGAAGAGATAGAAATGGCTGTGATCTACCTTCAGAAGTTGATCCGGGGTCGAGTTGTTCAGAACATGGTGTGTAGATCCAGGCTCTGGCCCTATACCTCTCTTCTCAGAATAACTTTTTTTCCCAATGTACCTGAGCTTTTCTCCTTGGCAGCCTTCCTTCTTGGCACCCTGCTTGGCATCCTGCAGTCCTAGCCAGCTGGACTCTTGAACTACCTGCCCATTCCCTTCTAGTGCCATATATTGTCCACTGTGTCAGAGAGAGAGAGAGAGAGAGAGAGAGAGAGAGAGAGAGAGAGAGAGAAAGGGCTTACCTGCTACTTGCCACAGTTGTAACAGAGGTGGTGTGAAACTCATTTCTTCCTTTCAACTGCTATATCCACACCATTCTTCACCTTGATTTTAACTATTAAAGCATCATAAACCAGATGGATTTTCTAGTTTCTCACAGTCATAGACTACTACATGCATTGTAAATGAAATAGCTAAATAGCAACTATAGTTTTGAACCCTTACTGTTTGCTACTTCTGTGCTCTTGGATGTATTTCTCTCTCTCTCTCTCTCTCTCTCTCTCTCTCTCTCTCTCTCCTCTCTCTTTTTCTCTCCTTCTCTCTTCTATCTGTGATCTCATTTCACAGTGATATAAACCCAAGAGAGAATTAGTTAGCTGTTAGCAAATCCAATTCATCTTCCTGACTGGCAAGCCTTGATCAGACTGTGTAGCCAGTGCAGCCAGCCTTCACTTCAAAAAATGGACAGATATTAAACCCCACTTAACTCCTTTCTTTCTTTTTTTCTATTTTACCCAGGCAGTTATTGTTGTTAAGAGACCCAGGTACAATGACTGTGTCCATGGACCTGGGTGAGCAACTTGTGTTCATCACTATTGTTCACTCTCCTTTCCATAATTACCTTCTGACTTCACATTGTCTATTACAAACCAAGGATCCATTTACTGAAAAAGAAAACATGGCTATGAAAATGCCATCCCAAGTTTCTTAGGGAAGGAATTGGTGGGGGGGCAGAGTTCTAGCTTCTCCATATGACTCTATAGTTGGAATGTTGGTTTTGATCAGCTTGTCCAGATACTGAGTCAACAGCACACTGAATATGAAGTCTCTTCTCCACCTGACCCACAGAAGGTGCTGACCAGAGGGTGGAAGTTTAGCACTGTGGCATCCCACCAAGCAGGACAGAACTCACTTGCAACTCCCAGTGCTTGGCACAGAGAGTTGGTAACTTGCAAGTCTGTCTTTGATTTGCTCTGATACAGATGTTTGAAGGGAAAGAGAAGCGACTGGAGTTGATCCAGGAGTTGCGGACCAGTCACGCACTGCAAGAAGATCAGAAGCTGGTGAAAAAAGCTGAGAAGCAGGTGTCCCTGGCCTTACAGCGACAGAGGAACTTGCATGAGAACAAGGTCCTGCTTTTCTCTTTTGTCACCTGTTACCTTCCCCACCTTGATTTCTGTGACTGCATGAGCAATGCCACAGTAACAATAGATGAATGGATGAGGCAATGAACATCCTACACAATGAAAAATTAATTTAATTTGAAATGTGGAGTTACTTAGAGAGAGGGATAGGCAAAGAGAAAAAAAAAAGTCTGCTAGTTCACTCCCCAAATGGCTGCAACACCCATGCCTGAGTCAGGTTGAAGCCATGAGTTTGGAACTCCATCTAGGTCGCTCATATTGGTATAGGGGCTCAAGCATTTGTGATATTCTCTGTTACTTTCGAACAAAAGTAGATCAGCTGGGATTCAAACAGGTGCTTATATGGAATGCTAGTATGGCAAGCAGTGGACATTAGCCCACCTGCTGGGTCACTTCACCCGCTGTGACTAGAACTGGCCCTATATGAAGATGGGACCCAGAGTTTCTTCTTGGTCGTCCATGTGGATGCAGGGACCCGAAGACTTGGGCCATCCTCTGCTACTTTTCCATGCCATTGGCAGGAAGTTGGATTGGAAGTGGAGCAGCTGGGACTCAAACTGGTATGCCATAGTGGCTTTATCCATTATGCCACAGCACTGACCCCTAATCTTTGAGCATTCTTAAAGCTGAATGGGATCATACCTTCATGGAATTGCATATGCTGTTATTTTCTTATTTGTGTTAACAAGAAGAACAGAAAATGCTTTTGGTAATTCTATTTCACTTAGCAAAGCAAGTATATGATAAAAGCAATGCCAAAAAGAATGAGAAACTAGAGTTGTCTTAAAGTATCAGGGCATGAGGTCAGCACTGTGGCACAGTGGGTGAGGCTACTGCCTATAACTCCAATATCCGATATGGACACTGCTTCATGTCCCAGCTCCTCTGCTTCCTAGTTAGTTCCCTGTTCATGTGCCTGGGAAAACAGCCAAAAATGGCCCAAGCCCCTGGGACCCTGCCACCCATGAGGGAGACCCAGAAAAAGCTCCTGTTTGGGCCTGGCCAGCCTGGTCATTGTGGCCTTTTGAGGAGTGAATCAGTAGATGTGAGATCTGTCTGTAACTCTACCTTTCAGATAAACAAATATTCTTAAATAACAAACAAACAAACCAGTGGGGAGGTGTTTGGAACAGTGGTTAAATTGTCAATTTGGACACCCAGATCCCCTTTGGGAGGGCTTGGTTTGAGTCCTGCCTCCTCTACTTCTGATCCAGTTTCCTTCTCATGTGTATCCTGGGAGGCAGCAGATGATGGCTTAAGCACTTTTGCTTCTGCCACCCATGTGGAAGACCCTGATGAAGTTCCAGATTCCTGACTTTGGTGACCCACTCCAGGCTGTTACAGGCATTTGGGGAGTAAGCTAATACGGAGAAGTTTTGTTTTGTTTTGTTTTTCTGTTTGTCTGTGTCTCTGTATGGCTTTGTTTTTCAACTAAAATAAAAAAAAAACTAATAAATCTCAGTGCTGTTTCTGAGTTTGAGTGCTATATGCATACAGCATATACCACCTAGACTGTGTATTAAATGTTAGCTTCTCATATGTAATGACTTTCATCATGACCTCCCAGCTCTCTGCCACCTGACATAGTTGAGAATTGAAGCTCTAAACCAAAAACTATAAATACTTACCTATTCTCTTCCAGTATTTGTTTATATATACACATTTAAAAATTTTTAATAGTGGGAATGTATTTTAAATCTCCTTTCCACTTGGCCATAAATCAATCTGAAAAAGAATCAATTTTCAGAATTTAGTTTTACAATGAACTAAGCACCAATGGTAGATAGCTTGGCAATGATCCCAGCTTTATTTTTATGTGACAGTTACTGAAGTTGACAAAACTGCTGATGGGGGAGGGAGGAAGCATGCCACAGGTTGTGAGAGTGCCAGAAGGACCAGGAAAGGAGCTGACTGTGGGCAATGAAGTCCCTGAGTGTGGAAATCCTAAAGACTAGGGATCTTCAGAGATGGGGAGAGGGCCCCAAAAACACCAGTTATTGAGACTCCGATTTAAAAAAAAAAAAAGCCAGGAGCCTTGGATGAGTCTGATGATGACTGGCAGGTGAGGCCCAGCCAGCCCAGGTTTTTTTCACCTATTTATGCCTCTACCTACATTGCGGCAATCATGTCAGCTAAACTTTAAAAGAGAAGTTAATGAGAGAACAGGCATTTAGCTAAAGGCTCATTCTGCTTGCTTCAGCAGTACCAGGGTGTCCTGGTACCCTGAGCCAGTGCTCTGAGAAAGGGGGCGTTGTGCAGAAACCTCCAGCCATGCCAAGCCCCTTTTACTTCCTGCTCCTGTTTTTGTGGAAAGTGACCCAGAAAATAGTTTCCAATATGTAATGTGCTATATGACTGCAGCATTTTTTACCTGATTTCCAGTTAGATTTTACTACCTGAGTATACCCAAGTTCATTACCGAGGGAGGAGGTGAGGCATAAGCAGGAGGCACCTAAGGAATCAAAAGGCTGCATTTGCTTTCTAAGAGGAGGCACATCCAGTCCCTGGAAACGCAGGGACAATTCATTTTGGGTCCTGAGCTAAACGTTTATGAATGGGAAGAGCAGATGGAAGGAGCAAAATGTAAGGAAATAGGTTTTTATCATTTCACTGTTTCTTTCCATCTCTCCTTATTTGAACTTGGTGAGTAGAAAAGTCAAGCGTGGGCTGGGAGACAGGTAAATATGAGCATGTGGGTGTCAGGGCTGACAGCTACACTTGACTGACTCTTGCACTGGCCTACGAGCATTCCTTCGCTTCAGACGCAGACCAGAAGGGCAGGACAGTCCAGGTTGAAGCAGCCTGACACTGGAGGAAGAGCCCTTTGCCTTATATGTGAGGATGTAAGAGGGAGCAGGAGAACGTTACACAGGATAGATCACCTTACAAAAACAAAAACAAAAAAGCAAAAATTTTTTAGCATTTTGTGTTGTGTAAAAAGGGATAAGTCAGTGATTATTTTCATTTTGTGAACAAAACTAAAATTTTAATGCTTTTTCACATCCATTCTGAAAACATGCAATTTGACCAAAGTGAAAGGAACATAAATCTCCCTAAAAGAAATGTTCACAACATTATTTATTCTGAGAAATTTTCAAATATTTGCTCAGTGATTACATTGCCAGACAATACAAGATCACATTTATACAGATATTGGTGTATATATTAAATACTTACAATAACGATGGAATGATCTTTTGCGGTTTACTTTGACCTCTGTCCTTGAAGGCTTTGCTCAGGGACAGGTGCATTTCTTTTGTGTCAATGACCGTGGCTTTTTTAAAGTATGAAAAGAAAAAGGAAGAAACTCGGTTTCATCACAATATTTTTAAAATACCTTCCCAATGTTAAAACATCTTTATCAAATATGTTGCACCCTATTACAAGTACTTACTGAAGAGAGTATTTACATCACACAAAATTGACAAAACAAACACGGAAAACTCATGCTAGGGCAAGAGTCGATAAGCAGCTTTGGATTTTCTCATGCACAACAAAGAAAAGGCTCAGGAGTTTAGACTACCAAAAGTCCCCAAACAATCCTAACAGAAAAGAACGAAGACAGAAACTGAAAGAAAACTCCAGATCAGTGTGCATTTGGAACTGTAAGAAAGTAGGGAGCTGTGAGCTGTACAACTTGAGTTGCAGCCAAGACATACATCTTCTCTGAACTTTAAACACGTGTCAGGGCCAGGATACAGGGTTCCACCAAGAGGTACTGTGGCTTCCTTGTGGCCAAGAGTTCCAGAGGCTCCTCGTTTTCCCTCAGATGTTTAGATTTTTCCCCTGTGCTGTTTCAGAGGTGATTGTTATTGGCCTTGAAGTTATTGAAAGACTCAGAAATATGAAGGTTTTCTACTTTCACATCATTCAAGGTCATAAAGATCCCCAAACTTGTGTGAAAAGGTGAGACATTAAAAAAAATTATTTAAGTATTATGAATGAACTTCCACGAGATTCTATTTTATTAGTCCCACAATATTAACTTGAATAAAAATCTTGGCATTTTATTCCATGTCTGGGAAGACATACTTTATTTGGTAAAGCTGAAAGAAAACAAACTTCTGCGTGCTTGCTCACAGAAATGCTCTTCTGAAGCCTCTTCTGATTTGCAGTGTGACCCATCAGGGACTGAGAGTGATCTGTTGTTTGTTTGTTTTTGTTTTTGTTTTTTTTATATCAAAGTTTGTAGTAAGCTTTCCTAGGGAGAGCCCTTAGGGTGAGGAGATAATATTACTGATCAAACAAGGTGCATTCTGAAATGAACTGATTAGCAGGAGTTCTGGATAATATAATATCCCCCCCCCTAACAGCCACCACCCCTAGAGAAAGTTGTATCCTGAAAGTTAACATTATTTTTTCTAGGTATCACTACTAGAAAACCATTTGGCCGGCCTGGAAGGAAAGGCGCTGGCAGACATGTTTGACTTCCTGTCCAAAGAGCTGGTGAGACTGCAGGAGGAGAGGAGGATCCACGCCTTTGCCATGCTCGCCGAGCGCCAACGGAGGATGCGAGAGGCAGAGGAGAGCGGCCGGCGCCAGGCGGAGCAAAGGCGCCTGCGTGAGGAGGACAAGATCTTTAAGGAGGCAAGTAGAGTCTGTCTGTAGTTAGAAACTATCCCAAAGGAATGCATCAAACCCAAAGAATTGCATGACATAGAATGGTATTGATTTTTTGGTTTGGCTTTTGTGCAGCAGTTGGGTTGTTACCATGAGCTGAATACTGTGCAAAGGCACGGTGGAATACCTTGGAAGAAAACAAAGAGACAAAGTCCCTTTTCTCCCAGAGATAAGTAACACAAGAATGTAGAAAAAAAAAATGTAATGAGTTCCAATCGGGAAACCAAAGGCACCCAGTGATGCATTTTAAATAGATTCCTCTTCTTGCTGCAGGGAGAACAGGTTGAGGGAGGACAGAGCAGAAACAAGAATACCTTCAAGGAGGCTGCTCAAGTGCTAAAGGCCAGTGCAACAGACAGAACCCAATTTGATTTCCACTTTCAGGTGTGAACAACTGGCAGATGAAGGCACTGCTTTCTGTGGTGGAAAGCTCAGAAGGGAACAGTGTAGGGGCAAGGGCAGAATCAGGAATTCAGTGCATATATTCAGTGTATACCTAGTGGGTATACCTATTTGGGGACAGCTAAGAGGAAGCCTCCCTTTTGTAGATGGATATACAAGATACAAATTGAAAGAGAGGTTTGGCTGCAGAAAGGCATTGGAGAACTGTTGGTACATTAAAATTCAGACTAAGGTACAACAGATATGAAATGCCAAATTGACCAAGTTGCAAATTCAGGGGGGTTCCTTGAGGCAATGATCCCTCCTAGAGAATACAGAGGGCTGCTACTGGAACTGGGGGGAGACCTCACACCCAAAGCTTCCCTTTTCCTGTAGTCAGAGGACGGATGTTTCACAGGGACCCCTTGGAAAGCCTGATAATTGTTCTGTCTAGTCGGTGTTCTGGAGTGCTGCACCATCTGGCTGTTTCAAGAGAGGCTGGCTGCCTGGGGTTTGCACACACAGCCCATGTTACTTGTAATGTGTTAATGGTAACTTGGGTAACCTCTTCCCCTGGGCCAGAAATGGCAGGGAAGGAAGAGCCAGCCTGGAACGCACAAAGGTTCCTCTCCACGAAAGCTATCTGCATCGATGTGTGGGTGTTCTTGAGCTCTACACCTTAAAAAGAAAAGAAAAAAAAAGCCAAAATGCCTCTCATGCTGTGTAAATCTGGAGTTCATGTCTGATCTGAAGGTTTGATATGTTAGTAGATTCCTGTGGAATTAGGTTAATTCATTTACAGTGTTTGGTGTGTGTGTTTTTAATCTAAAACAGCTTTTTGAATGAAACCAGATTGTCCTCCCTGGGCACAGCTGAAGTAGATCAGGGCTATAAATTTTAGAAGTTTGGGACTATAAGTTGTGCAGTCTAGATTTCTAACTTCAGTTTGCAGATTGCCTAGTGGGTATCAGTGTGACTGTTGTGTTCCAGTTTTTTACCATCTTAGTACATTTTACTTCAAAAGAGTTACTGAAATTACTGACAGACCATCTAATACCATGAAGGAAAAACCAGTTGGGAACAACTAAGCTAAGTAACGAGGGGCGGGAATCAGAAGAAATGGACTGGAGACACCACTGCGCTGACACAGAGACAGGAGCAAGCTGGTGTGCAGCTTCTTAGGAGGCTGTCTTCTGAACAGGGAGTGAGGTCAGAAAAGTGGCTGCTGTGTCGAGGAAGGGCAAGAAACAAGTGAGGTGATGCCTTCCAACTCCTTGTAAGGACCACTTACATCAAGAATACCTTCAACTTTTTGAGTCCCTGCATTTAAATACTGGCTGTCATTTTAATCGCCAATCTCTCTAATTAAAGCAGCATTGCTATTTTCCTGCCTGCTTCCTTATTCTACCTTCAGAGAAGTCCCTTGGATCAACATGAAGATGAGTATGCTTACATAGAAATATACCAAAAGAGAGAAGAAGCATATAACTAACACATAGAAACACAGTCACACTCCTGTTTAAATATACATGCACATATTGCAAGCACACTCACAAGGAAATGTCCACCCATAGTATCTAGTGTGCACAGAATGCCAAAGCTATGGAGGAGCACACAAAGACATACATAGGGATGTCTAGATTTCCCTATTCACTACTGCACATGCAATCACAACTATGTACAAAAGCGCTTATTCATACAGATATGTATAAACCCACAAGTACGTATGTTCGTCTGAGTGGACCACATTACACTCCCTACCTCTCTGCTGTTATATGCCTGGGCTGCCTAATTGTCACATGTGGGTACAGTTTGCTTCCTTAGTAAGACTGGACTCTGTGAGAGTGAGCCTATCATCTGTTCCCTCTTTGTCTTCCATAACACCAGCACATGGTTACTAATACATAGCAGATATTTAGAAAATATATTTTGGCTCATTGGTTATTTAGTTGATATTGCATTAAATTGGCCTCTGATATTTGCGCATGGGGAAGGCATAGGATTTCAAGGCTGCTTTTTCTTCTACAGGTTTACATAGTACTCATACCAATTATATATTCAGAATTATATCCTATATGCTACTATTAATTGGCGGTGAGTCTTAGGCATGTCTTAGATACAAAGAAATACTCAGACAGAAAATAAATGTTAGATAGATGTTAGACTATTCCACTGTTCCCTAACCGTGTGTTCAATAAATCTAGCTACTCTGTTATAATCCATCCATCCATCAATGAATCAATGTGTTCTATACCCAAGAAATTTATAATCTATCAACAAAACAAAATATATCTGTAGCTAAATACATTGTACAGATACTTAAAATACTTTTGGTGTATTTATCCATAAAGCAGGACACATAAAACTGTACTGCTTATGACTGTGTACTTAGGGAACAGAATTATAAAGTAAAGGAAGTGCTTGTCCTGAATGTGAAAAGAGATTGTGGTTAGGACAAAGCTGTGGTCCTCTCTGTGGTACTAGCAGGCGCTACATGAGCACTGGCTTCACCTGACTTCATTACACTGTACCTTTACTACACTTCTCAAACTGTCTCACAGTTCACAGTTTCAAGAAAGCTTAAAGAGCAGCACATTGGGGCTAATATGATTGCCTGGTCAATTCTTCAGAGACCCAGGAACCATCTAACTTTTTGCTTTTCTGACACTAAGGCATGGCCATTGTGTTCATTTAAGATGATCAGTGGTCATCTAGAACTATGTCCCCATACATTGAGAAATGAAATGAGAAACAAAGAAGCCAAACCTTTTCCTTTAAGAATCTTTCCTGGTAGCAAGCCTATATATAGCCCCTTGGTCAGAACCTGGTCAGAGCTGCTTTGGATGATAAGAGATGTAGCCTTTCTTCTAGGCACTTATTTGCCTAACTAAATACCAGGGTGCTATTATTTTATAGGAAAGAGAAAAAGGACATTGGCAAAGACACTCTAGACTCTGTTCCAGTTATATCATTTGACCCTGGTCACAACTGGTTTGAACAAAGCCAAGACCCACATAAGGGACATGTACACTGTAGTAAGGCTGTAGGAAGGCTGTAGTTGTCCTAGAGTGCTTTGCTGCCAACTCTCAAGCAAGATCCTTAATTCTAAATTGGACTGAATGAATTCCAAAAATGAGTAGCTAGGTGGAAGAACAGACTGATTTGATGGTAAAGGAAAGGAATTATTGACCTGATTGATAAAATACATGAGCCTTAAAGAAATCAGACAATACTTGCCTACTTTTATTGTCTGTTTACAATGGTATTGCTGTTCTTAGTAAGAAAGGGTGTTTTTACTTTATGTAGGTTATTAAAGTTCATCAAAGTACTGTATCCTCCTATTTGGAAGAGATAATACTGAATACTGAAGAAAGCACTGCAGAAGAACATGCCAGGGCAGAAATTGAAAAGATGGTTGAGGAAATCAATGACATTGCTTATGAAATGGAACACCGGTATGTACCACGGGAATAGACCACAGACTGAACAGCCCATCTATTGTTAGCTGCATTTGGGCTGGTGGGCTGCTTATCACTTCACAATCAACGTCACCATTGTTTTATTAACATAACTCTTTAGAATCTACCATGCTTATATCTCTTTAAAGAAGGAAACTGGGGGATTGAATTTTCAGTTGTCTGTTGCAGTCCAGGTTATTTTTATATTGTTGACTTGTGGAATACCCAGGGGCATGAAAGCACTGTGAATACGTGTGAGCATCCTCTCTCGGACTTCACTCAAAGCTTTGGGCTTCCACGCAAAAATGACTGTTTCTAACATCCTCTTCCTAGTGGGTGGTAGGATGGGAGGTGACGGAAACAAGGATAGGGTCAAATCCAAATTTTCCATGAAATTAAGCAAGCTTGCCAGGAAGGAGTTGATGATGGCAGGATTTGAGCAGTGGAGTTGCCTAAACATGCTAAAAAGAGCCAAGTATACACCAGTATACATCAGTAGATCCTGCCAAGAAACAAAGTTGAAATAGTGTCTTTTTTTTTTTTCCCCTTAAGTCGAACTCATCTTCAGTCAGAGGAAATTGTTGCTGAGCTGGTTTACAGTTTTCTGATTCCAGAGGTACAGAAATACTTTATTAAAGAAAAAGGTAAGCCATTGTAAATGCTTCACTTTAGGATCTTTAAAAGATAGAAATTATTAGGGTCAATGTCTTGGTGTAGCCAGCTAATCCTCTGCCTATAGCACCAGCATCCCACATGGGCCCATTTTGTATCCCAGGTGCTCCACTTACAACTCAACTGCCTGCTTATGGCCTGGGAAAGCAGCAAGGATGACTCGAGTTCTTGGGCCCCTGTGTACATCTGAGAGACTCAGAAAATATCCTGGATCCTGGTTTCTGGCTTCAGAATGGCTCAGCTCCAGCCATTGTGGCCATTTGAGGGGTGAGCCAGAGATGGAAGATCTCTCTGTTGGTATCTCCTTCTCTTTGTAGCTCTGCCTTTCCAATAAAAAAAATTAAGAAAAAGTCTTTTAAATATGGGAATTATTTTCACTTTCCCACAGATTTAAAACTGAACAGAGGTGTGAGGAAATTACTGAAGGAGAACCAGTGAGTTTTCATATTCCAGACCATGTCATGTTCTTTTCCTGTAGTCAGACTCCACAACATCATCTCCCTGGAATCAATGGGATGTGCTTCCAATAAACTTAACAGGTTGCCAAATACAATCTCGTATGAAAGGAAATTCCCAGGTTCTCAGAAGAGGTGTGTTTTGCAATTCAAACGAAGGTAGTTTTGTTGGCAGGGCACTAGTGAAGCAGGGATGCCTGAAGGGTCTACATCTGCTCTGCTCCTCTGCTCAGGCCACGGATTTCTTCTTCCTGCTGGGACCACTTCTAAGTCTAAATATCCTGATTCACTTTTGGTCAAAATTGTAATTTAAATGCATTTATTTGAGAGACAGAGAGCTTCCACCTGCTAGTTCTCTCCCCATTGTAGCTGCCTACGATGAATGGCTAGGGCTGGACTGGGACTGGACCAGGGCTAGAGTTGAAATCTGAGAGCTCAATCCAGGTCTCCCACATGAGTGGCAGGTAGCCAACTCTTTGAGCTATCACCACTGGCATCACAAGTAGAACCAGTTACTCTGATTTATGATACGGTGCCATAGCTACTAGACAAATTCTACCACAGAGGTGGCATGGTTTTAAAGGTTAATGCTTTTAGTCAATAGAGGAAAGAAAGAAAAGAATTAAAAAGCAAAAAGTTTTGCTGGAGCTCTCAGACTGTTGGCGCTAGGCCTGATCCCAGAGGAAGCCATATAACCAGGAGAAGACAGGTAACAGCACAGAAGCTTTCAGGATTATTCAGGGAAATTCTGCACAGGCCTCATCAGGACAGTGTGTGATATGTCAGGTCACCTAATCAGCTATGCAAGGCAGAAGAGTGTGAGTGTATCCAGAGAAAACAAAGCAATATCTCATTGTCACATTACAGTTATTGTAGACTTACTAAGTAGCACTTAGCTTCCAGAGTTTTTTGTGCTACTAGCAGTGACGAGATCATTGTATTTTACATATATCTTGGCTGGGCTTCTCAGAGTAAATTTTCAGCGGTACAGTTGCTGGGCTTGGGACATGTCCATTTTCCATCTTACCAAGTTGGTATCATCTCACACAATTTCTCTCTCTTTTTTTTTAATAATAATTGTTTTTATTTTGTCAATCTTTATATAGTTAATTTGGGCAAAAAGGGTCAAGGGCTACAGGAAAGTGGGTAAGACTATTATTTCCATATTGTTTCCTTCATATATCTGAGGTAGAGGGGGATATTGAGGGAGAAGCCCCACCCGGTTTCCCACCCACCCCAAGTCCCGCATGTGGAGCATGCTCCGAGATACTCGTTGAAGTGGTTTCAGTAGGTCACCAGTTTTGAAATTGCTGCAATCTTGCCTCTCCAAACACGATGAGGTTGTTGAAAAATCTGTTAATTGACATTGTCCATCATAGTGTCTCTATTTGCCCAGTATTTTGTTGCCAACCTATAGCTGAGGTGGTTGATTAACTTATTCCATCTTCTGTCCCTTCATGGTTAGGGTTCTGAGTCTGGCATTTCAATTGGGGAGATCCCCAAAGAAACTTCGTCTGAGGTGTTCCCAGGCCAGATACTTGTATGCACCAGCAAGCACAGGGCCCAGCACAGTCCATCACCTGGTCAGCTGGTAGTTGCAATTGCTGGGTTGGTTCTGTTTTCAGCCCTGCCTTCTACTGGAACCAATGGGTGTTGCAGTCCAGCCTGGTTCTGCACAGCACATATTCGGTCTTCACCGAAACCAGTGGGAGCTGCATCCTGATGAGAGCAGCCCACAATAACCCCCACCAGGCCCACCCCCTACCCTGGTTTGCCAATATGTGTGGCAGACCAGTCCAATCTGTCCCACACCCCCCCGGCTCTCGTACATGGCAAATGGCATTGAAGCTCGGATCCATCTAACCAGCTCAACAGTCAAGCCTTCACGGGTGTGGTTGAGTGCTTCTCTGTCTGGCTACCCCAGCCCCCGTCCTAGTTCTTGTGCCCTCCCGTGGGAGTGGTAACCCAAGAGGGGGAACCCACTATTTCCCTCCCAGGTCTCTCACTCCCGGATTGTGCACTTTCCAGGTGGTTCTGCAGTTTAACTTGACAGGATTAGCCCCCAGCGCCAGTTTCTGTCAGCTGATGCTACAAGCTATCCCAAACAGCCCTCTCCCATTCTAATTGTAGGTTGCACCCATAGGAACAATCCACCCATCCTAGCTTTTCCCTGATCTAGTCCACATGAGGCGCACAGGTGTTGTAGCCCTGCTTAGTCTGGTCTGCCCCCATCCCAGTTCATGCTCTTCAGTGGGAGTAGCTGTCCAGCAGGGGAACCACCCCTTATTCCCCCGCTGGCTCTGTCCCCTCCCTTCCTGTTTCTCACGTGTTTTGGATGGGCACTGCAGTCACATCCGGCACAGTCAACCTCATCCTGGCATTTTGTAGCGTGGACTGGTTTTTTATCTCAACCAAACCTGGCCCGACCACAATTTCTCTTGAAGGAAAGGGTTCAGAGGAAGACCTGAATGGAGGAATCCAGGGGGCTTGTCTGTGAGCAAGATTTGTGACCATTAGCCTCTTAATTTTATATTCATGTTGGGTCACCAAAGCCATATGACCAGGATCACACACTAAGACCTTTTTAAACAAGGGGGATGTATTAGTGTATCGTCCATGAAGTCACTGATGGTGAAGTAGCAATCAACAGTACTTCTTACTACACTTTACTGGTGTATGACTTACAACAAATAACCTGTCTCTCTGAAAGTGGGGATATTAATATTCTCTTGTGGGATTATGGAGGGATTAAATCAACAATCCAGATGTGCCAGCTGCTTAAGCCAGTGCTTGATACCAAGTAAGACAAGTACTAGGTGCCAATGACATCAACCTTACCATCTTCCTTGCCATCCTTTTTAAGGATGCCAATGCTTAATGCTGTCAGTCCCAAGCCTTGACAATATTCTTAGAATTTAGAGCGATGGCTGCCTTCTAAAATTGTCAGCTCAGACTCATTGTCAACCAAAGGTACCCTCATCATTAGAAACAAAATCTGAAAGAGAAATGTAAAACACAGTGTTTTACCTTTCGGTGATTTACAATCAAGGTGGAAAACAAACAAAAGAAAAGTGTAACTTGTCTGAAATGCTTCAGTACTGGACTAGTTGGTACATATTCAAGTGGCAAATGGTACATGTGAGCTAACATTATCAAAGGAAGATTCTTGGGGGAGCTGGAACTTCAGCTGGAGTGCAGCCTGTTGAGGAGTAGAATAAAGGCAAGCCTTGTGGGAAGAGGAAGATGGCAAAGCGAAGCCAAAGACTGGAGACGGAGGAGCAGCTTGCGTTTGATTTAGCTTTGCAACAGCACAGATTGTTTCCATTTAACCCCATCAGCCCTAAATCAGAATACACATGGTTTGCAAAAACTTTTGTTTTCATCATTGTTCTCTTGAAGCATTTGGGAATGAATTCTTTCAGACCTTGAGAGTTAACAATGCTTCTGTCACTTTGGTGCAGTGAGGAATGCCCAGCGGAAACACATCCTTGCAGCCCACCAGATCATCCACGGGCACACAGACGCCATGCTGCAGCAGAGACTCACTGAGCAACAGCAGGAGCAAGAGCAAGAGTCACAACAAGAGCAAAATGAGGACTCGAATACTGCCGTGGTACCTGAGGAAGAAACCCCAGATGAGCACAACAGCTAAGGTGAGCTTGATTTTCCTAGCTGGAAGGAAGCCGAGAGAGAGGAGGAGGACTTGCAGCACTGTTGAGCTTTATGCCATGCTCTACAAGTCATACTGTGCCAAAATTGTTTCTAACACTCAAGCATTTCAACTAGCACACTTCATCCAGGTTGTGGCATTTACTCTTGAAAAGTATTCAAGAACTACAGTTAATATTATCACAATTGAATTCTTATGATTCTGAAAATAGGAATCCAAATTATTTTTTTAAAGATCTGTTTTGCTTGAAAGTCAGAATTACAGAGAGAGAGGAAGAGAGAGAGAATTTTCCATCTACTGTTTCACACCCCAAATAGCTGCTGCAGCCAGAGCTTGGCAGTTCAAACCTGGGAATCCGGAGCTGCCTCTGGGTCTCCCACATGGAAGCAGGGGTACAAGGACTTGGGACATCTTCTACTGATTTGCCAGGCCAGTAGCAGGCAGTTGAGTCAGAAATGGAGCAACAGGGACTAGAACCAACTGGAAGTTTGCTCTTATAGTCAAGTTATGTCCCCATGCTGGTGCTGGTTGCAGGCACAGCAGGATATGCAGAGCCTGCCCAGTTCTAACCCTGATGCCTTCTCTAATACCCATGAGGAGTTGGTCTTAGGCTCAACAAAACATTCAGACTAACATAGGCCACGTTTGAAGAAATATCTATTTAATTTGAAAGGCAGAGTGACACAAATACACACACACAAGGGGAGAGAGGGAAAGGGGGAGACAGAAGGAGTTAGGGGAGAGATGGGAGGGAGAGAGAGAGGGAGAGAGGGAGAGAAATATTTTCCAGGAAGATAAAGCTAGAAATGAGAAACTCCATCCAAATTTCCTACATGGGTGGCAAGTGTTGAAGGACTTACCCATAATGTGGTGCATCCCAGGTTTCATATTAGCAGGAAGATGGATAGAAAGAAGGGTAGCTGGGACTTGTGGCAAGTTTCAAGTTAACCTGCTACACCAGAGCACCCACCCCACATAGGCCACTTTTGATGTGAACCTACTCAGTATAATATAAGCTTTGATCAGGGCAAAGTCAACCATCTCTTTTCTCTCTAGGGGCTCTTGCCATATCCATGCATAACACACAGTTACTTTCTTTAGCCACCAGGTCACAGAACTCATGTATAAGGAAAAGAGATTCACATAGCAAGGTACAGGTGCTGCCCCAGCTTAAACCACCCCCCAGGGGCCAGAATCTCTTCTAATAAATTCTGCACCTAGCTTCCACAGTCTCCACGATAAATGTACACTGTGTCAAAGGTACACCCGTGGAAGCTCAGCACTATTGCTTCCTATTAGGTATTAATCATTTCTAAACCCTCTGCTTCCAGATGCGATTTGTGGATCAGAGGTTATTCTTGGCTTAAGTGAAGTTACTTAGTAGCATGGTTCACATAAACCACCTCATCAGGTTGCTAGGAGAACAAAGCTAATGAGTCAATTAAAGGTAAAATTTTCCTGCCGAGGGAAAAGAGAGTGAAGCTTTGGCTGTATCTTTGCAGACTTTTCCATGAAGAGGTGTGACTTTTGCTGCTTTGGGCTCACTATAGGTTGGGGGAAGGCAGTAAGGCAGAGAGAGAAATTTTGGTTTAGCATGTAACTGTTTGGGGCATGCAGATTCTGCTACTAACTATACTCTAAAACAAGTAATTTCTCTTCTCTTGAGGTTTGTCCAGAACATATTTCCAAGGATCCTCTGCAGGGCTACCTTTTGGCATCAGAGGATATCATGGAAGAAAGAATGAGATGAAGGTGAAGTTAAGAAAAAGAACAGAGAGAAAACAGATATACAATTCTTTAATATCAAGCTGTGGTTGTAAATTGAAGCTGAAAAGCCTTTGTCTTTAATAATGATTTCCTGAAATCATTAACTACATGTAAAGCATATGTTTACATGTAACATTACAATATCTATGAAATACAAATCCAAGAACCAATTTATTATAATGATAAAAGTGAGCCTAAGGATTGGGATGCTATTTTTCTAACCTGCAAATTTAATAAGATTTGTAATTTACATAGTTTGAGTTAAATAAAAATGCAATTATTTCTGGTTATGATTACTTTGTGACATTTACAGTGACCTGTGAAATCAGGCTGGAGAAGTGAAAAAGGAAATCTCAGTTTTGCACTTACAGTAAAATTCATATCACTAAAAGTACATAAGGCATGTATATGGTGCAATGGCCTAGTGGCTAAAGTCTTCACCTTGCACTCACCGGGATGCCATATGTGTGTGGTTGATGTCCTGGCTGCTCCACTTCGCTTGCATCTCCCTGCTTGTGCTCTAGGAAAGCAGTAGAGGACGGCCCAAAGTCTTGGGATAGGCTCAGCTCTGGCCATTGTGGCCACTTGGAGAATGAACCAGCAGCTGGAAGATCTTTCTCTCTGTCTCTTCTTCTCTTTGTAGATCTGCCTTTCCACTAAAAATAAATAAATCTTAAAAAGAAAAAAAATCATGTTTGTGATAGTTATGAAGTCCAGCTGAAAAAAAATTTGATTGTTCACGTAAATAAAAACACTCAACAAAGAAATTGATTTAAGCAGACCCTAGATCCCTGTTGCTTCGAGAAACCTACTAGAAATAAAATTTAGTTTACATTTGTATTTAGTTAACATAATTCTGGGTGTCAGCTTATTGTCACAATTTTTCATATCTAATTTCTAAAATACAGTCAAAGATATACCAAGTGATTGAATATAGACTTAAAAGTATCTAGATTTACTATATGATCATTTTAGCAAAACAAGAACTGTGAAAAAGTAGAGTTTAACCTACCTGGTCTATGGTATCCTGTTATGAAATCCCCAATTGATTAAATCAGCTTTTGGTACTGGGAGAGGGGTGCTGCAGCAACAGATACTAAACATGTGCAAGAGGCTTTGGAACTGAGTACTGGATAGAGACAGGAAGGTTTGTTATGCATACTAAATAAGTGGCTAGTAGCAGTAATTTCAGTGAGATACGTGAGGAAGATATTGTTGCAAATTTGTAGAAAGGTGATCCTTGTTATAAAGTTAGAAATAACTTGGTTGAACTGTGTTTTAGTGTTTTGTGGAAGGTACAACTTGTAAACAATAAAATTGAATATGTAACTTAGCAGCTTTCTAAGCAAAGTATTAAAGGAACTTCTTCTGCCTGTTTATGGCAAAATGTGAAAGGCAAGAGACAAATAAAGAAGGAATTATTAAGAAAAAAGAAACATGAAGTTTAGGGTTTTGACATGAGGGGGGAAATGAGAAAAATGTTTTCTAAGGATGTAGCTGAATAGCCATTTGCTAGTTTATATTATCAAACTGTCAGTTCAGATTGAGTGGGCTAGAGATAGGGTGAAATTAAGAAGAGCTAATGGAATTCTTGTGGTGTGAACATACACTGTTCTTCAAGAGGGGCAAATAACCTGTAAGGCAATTCTAAGCTCATCAGCACTGCTGCCTCAGTTCCAAGATGCCAGACAGCCTCTGTACAGAATCTTAGGAATGGGACTAGCTGATGGGTCCTGGCCCAGCAGAATCAAAAGGGCAGACCCTAGACGAACAGAGCCATGGAAACAGAACCCCCCACTTGGAGATAAGGGGGTGGATAGCAGAGATAAATGTTCACCCCAACAGGGCTTCAGAGGTGGTAGTATAACCTCAGGGGCCCCCGAAAGCAAGACAAGGAAGACTGTTTTCAAGTTCTAAAATCATCGCTCAGTTTGGAACTAGCTGGAGGTCCGCTGCCTCTTTCTTCTTTGCAGTTTCTCCCTTTTGGAATGGGAATATCTATCCTCTTCTTACCCCACCATTGAATCTTAGAGGCACACACTGGTCTGATTTTACAGGTTCACAAATGGAGAGTTATGCTGTCTCAGGATAAATTGTATCTTGAGCCTTAAGTGATGTGATTTAGAGGGCATTTTAATAGGACTTCAGGACTGATGCTGGAATTAGTTGAGACTTTGGACTTTTGCACATGGGAACAAATCTTTGGCATGCAAGAGGAGTGATTTATAGGAGATTTGGAGCAGAATGCTGTGCACTGAACTGTGGCTTCCCAAAGTATCTATATTGGTACTCTAACACCCAGTAAGATGGTATTCGGAACTGGGTGCTTTGAAAAAACAGTTACATTTATGTAATATCATGAGGGTTGGAACCTCATGATGGGACTAGTGCCTTTATAAGAGATATCAGGGTGTTTCTCTCTCCTCTCTCCCTCTCCCCCCACCTTCTCTCTTTCTTTCGATCTTGGTCTTCCTCCTGCTCTTCCTCTATCTCTCCCTACTGTGTGAGGATACAGTGAAAACATGTATGTCTGCAGTATAGGAAGAGATGTATTTTTTTAAAGGTTAATTTTATGTGTTTTTATTGAATAGCAAAGTTACGGAGAGAAAAGGAGAGACAGAAAGATATAGAATTTTCCATCCGTTGGTTTACTTCTAAAATGGCCACAATGGCCAAAGATGGGCCGATCTGAATCCAGGAGCCTGGAGCATCTTCAGGGTTTTCATATGGAAGCAGAGGTCTAAGGTCTTGGAAGCTCCTCCAATGCCTTCCCCAGCATGTTAGCAGGGAGCTGGATTTTTGAAAATGGGAAGCCCCGGTACGCTCACTGGTACCCATATGGAGCACTGGCACCACAGGTGGAGGCTTAGTCTGCTCCAGGAAGAGGTGTTTTGATCAGGAACAACCATGCTAACATCTTAATCTTAGATTTCTAGCCTCCAGAACTGTGAGAAAACTAATTTCTGTTTTTTGATCTATTCAGTCTTTCATAGTTTTGTTATGGTAGTCCAAGGTGATTGAGACGTACTGTGTTCACATGGATGAACGCCAACACTGAAATGTTTAAGAGAGCCAAAAGCAATAAAACAATAGAGTAACTTGTAGAAAATGAAAATCTCAGAATTTAAAAATGCAGTGTTCAAAATAATAAACTCAGTGAACAATTTTAATAGAATAGATTGAGTTGACAACACTGTTAAACTAGAATATGGGAG